CTTGACAAGGTTGAGAAACAATGGGTTACAGACTCCTTTGCCTAATTTTGTGGTGTTGGTTTTATTTGTTAACCTCATAAATGTATTATACATTTTAAATGATTTGTAAAACAAATGCCCCCCCCAATCCCTATCATTATTCCACAATACATATTAGTACTGTAAATAAAAATTTAGAAATAAATTAATTCATCACTGCCATATAGCATGGAATTCTTAGCACATTCCCATACAGATTACTACAAAGCAGTTGCATGTTATTCCCTGTAATCAGAAGCTCCTTTCTGTAACTGTGCCATTTCTAGTCTGCTTCATAGTCAAACTCCAAATCTGGGCAGTTACAAATAAAAAAATTAAAAACAATTTAAAAAATACAATAGACAAAAATGAAGAGTAAACATGGCAAGGATGACAAAAAACTGGCCAGGAACAGAAAGAAACAAACCCACACAATTCAAAGAACTAAGGACTGGTATGCCTTATGACTAACACAGTTTGCAGAATAATAAAGATATAACTTACTGTATAATTTATACTTTTAGATTTTAAAAATAAGATAATTCATTACTTTAAACAAAAGGAAGCATTAATTCAGTGTATTGATAAAAGTTCATAAATTTAATTTTTTAGTATATGTGTATTTAGACTAGCCTTCTCCAAACTTCTTGTCCTCTGTAAAACCCTAGTGATATTAGTTATTACTCAGTTTTTTTCCTTGTATTTTTCCTTGTATTATTTTAACTGTTTTTGTATGGATTGTTTGCTGCTCAGAGCTATGCATTTAAATGGGCGGCTATATAAAATATTTAAATAAATATATAAATATTGGGAAAGAGCAGTTGACAAGCTTGCTTTTGCAAATACAATTATACTTCATTTTAAATGAAATCATTTAAAAGTGGACTTTAATATAATTGAAATTATTTTTAAAATCCAGGTTTTGATTTGCTTTCTATCTTGACGAACTAGGGTTAGGAATTTAGCCATTATTTTGGGGATTAAATGTTTTCCATCTCCATTATTCCTGCACAATTGTTTTTTAACTAACTTGCTCATGGAAAAAATTGGTATTCTGCACACTACGTGAAGTATAATCTCAATCTGCTAAAAACATGATTCTAAGATGTTCATCTAAAGACCAACAATATAGTATCCAGAAGGTAGAGACTGGATGACTTCTGTATTTACATCACAAGCTTATTCTTCCAGAAAGCCTGTTTAGCCTAGTACTAGACTGTATAGCTCTTAAGCTCTTGGAAAAAAGATGGGTTCTAAATACAATTAAGAAAATTTTAAAATGTGAGCAATCAGGGCTATTTGCCTAGAAAGAACTACAACAGAAGACTCCACACATACCACTGAGGTCAGAATTTCACAAGTTTTAATTAGAACACTTATATTAGAACAAAAGTTACCTCAGATATTGTGTCGTGTCAAGAAATCAAGAGCTGGGAACCTGGGAAATAGCATGATAAGTATCCCAGACTGAAGGCTGTTAAAGACTAATAAGTCTTGATAGTGCTCACTGTAAAACTCTCTCATACCTAATGATAGTAATAATGACTGATCATATATTAAACCAACACTGCTTCTTCTGAGTCTCTTTTCTGGATTACAAGATAACATCAGTAGATACTTTGGCTTCCAGGTTGCCACTCTTCATCCTTCTTCACTCCTTCTGCGTTATATTATTCTCTCATGATTCTTTTTCTAGCTAAGTATATAGTTTTCCTATATTCACAGTATTTCTTGAAATCTACTTTAGGCAAATACACAAATGACACTGAAACTATCAAACCTAACATTAGGAGAAAGTGGGGTGGGGAAGACTTAAGCCATACAGCGTTAGGGAAACTGCTTTCAACGTGACTCATCCAAAGGAAAGCTCTCTTGTTCAAAAAAAAAAAAAAAAATGCTAATATGTATTTGAATAAACACTTTGTCCAAATGTTATAGTGTCAGGCTGAAATTATCCTGTTCAAAAATGCTGTACTGGCAGGAATTAAGGACTGAATTATCGATCACTTCTTTGTTCTAACTGCAGTGCTACCTTGAGCCCTGAAATGGCATATGATCTTGCAAAGTGCCCCAAAAATAAAAGCCATTCTGGCAGGCAGTAGCTGTTAGGGTGATACCAGAAACAGAAAACCAAAACAACTTGTTAAGAAAGGGCAAAAACTAAACCATGCGCATGACAGATACTGCTGTATGACTTAATAAAATGAAATATTTACATAATTTTCTCTCTGTCCCTCACAGAAGAGCTTTTATTGTATTCTTGCAGGCTCAATGCCTTGCCATCAGTGGTTCTGGAAGGAAAGTATAGCAACCTTCCTTTTTAGGACTGAGTTTGTCCCTGCATAGAGGGTGTTGTTGAATCAACACCACATGTTCTGTGGTTGTACAATGTATCATACACAGTGCTCTGAATTATTATCACTCCTCCTTGTATATCAATCCAACAGTACCACAGAAAAGAATACTATTTTCTATTAGCTGATAAATCCTTAGAAAACTCAAAAAAGGCAGCAAAGTCATGATCACTGAAAGGAAGAAAACTGGGTATTATTATGTTCTGAAAGATTATTCCATATATTTTAATGTTTTAGGTTTTATTACATTGTTGCTATTTGGTATTTTACCCAGAAATCTCGTCCATGACCATAAACAAAATTGGATAGTTGGAAAATAAGCCACAATGCTGCAAACATCTACTATTCTATATCACTGATGCTCTAAGCAAGAGGGAATGGGATGGGATGGGGTCCTTGTTATAAGTCTGGCTACAGCTGATAGCTGTATATGTATTCGAAAAGCTTCAGCTGCCAGATTGCAAGGTGCTAGCCATGAGGCAAATAGGAGAGAATATCGGGGGACTGCAAAAACACAGCTGTTAAAGATGTTGCCTTTCTATTATTCTTGGCAGAGGCAAACAATCTTTCCCAATCAATGTCTCCTCAACGCTAATGGGTTACAAACAATACACACCCAAATATAAAATTATATGAACTAAAACCAGACCATTGTGCTTTGTTTATTACACTCTATGGCATGACAGATTACTGCTCTGACTCAACCGTGCTGAGCCTCATCAAGTGTGTGTCATTTTCTTTAATGCAGGAATATGGTTACTCACTCTGGAGACAATAAGTGCTTCAGGATCAAGAACCAATCACTTCTGCATCTTACTTCTATTATAAAATGACAGCCAGTGTGGTACACTATTGGCAAAATCCAGGTTGAAATAACTATACTGTCAGAAAACCTGTGGATAATCTTGGGTCAGTTACTATCAAACTAATCTACTGTTGCGAAGATAACAAAATGTGTTGGGGGAAACAGGACAACCACAGAAACTATATGAATTTCCTCAGGGAAATGGTAGAGTAGTAGTCCAATGAACAAAACAAATAAAATTATTGAATTATAGTAGCTTTTTATTTGCTGTTTTCAGTCCTTAGAAGGATGTGCCTGTCATAGCTGCTAATTTCTCTCTTTTCCCAAGAACTTTATTTAGGTTTCTGTAAAAGGTATGAAAATCCAAGTATGAGATATAACTCAAGGAAATCTCTTTCACACAGCTCTTTAATATAGCATATTCTTGCACATGCTTTTTCTCAGAAATCCTTCTCTATTTGTTTTGGTTAATGATCAAAAGGCAGCTTAAAACAGACACAGTTGAAACATGCTTAAAGAGTGAATCTCACCCCCACTCCTACCTGAGTGATGGAAAAACAAAACTATACTGACACTCTTTTTAGTAGCGTAAAGAACATCTTAAGGATCAACACAATTTTCAGAAAATAAATACCATTAAGGATAATTAATTCCCACTCACACATTAGCACCTAGATCCAGAGTTTGGAGGTGAATGGAATGCGCTGTGCACCAGACAACATTTACCTGCTGGTGGAATGCACCTGAATATAAGTGGACTTCATTGCTAGTGTGGGAAAAGGCCTGCAGACCTGAGGAGACCATACAGAAGCATTGGACACAGGGCAGCATCTAAGAACTCTCTTCATTTGGAGGTAAAGATTACATTTCTAGTTGCGGAGAGTATATAATAATGAAAAGGGGAGAAGCATAAAACAACTTGATTCCTCTTCAAAAGATACTGTTAACATACCCCAAACATCTGCCGGAGGTCAGGATCCCGAAAACGGAAGGGAATGTTGGACACATGCAGCCGTTTTGGGGTAGACTTGCTCTCAGTATTCTCACTGCTTTGTGTCTGCGACTGCTGGCCATCTGTCTGTGCCCCTCCTTCTGTCTGCTGCAATTTTTTAAAAAGTGGAAGAAAAAAAAATCACAAAAAATCAGCCATGATTCATCCATTAATCAATCCATGTTTTACACATTTAAAATATCTGTATCAATTTGGCATTTGAGTAAATTTTCTTAAAAGCAGTACAAATAAACAGTAATCTTCTGCTGATGTGAAAGATGGAGAGAACAAACAGTAAAACAATTTCCATAAAGCAATTATCTAAAATTCTCAATGCACTTCATGTAAAATAAATTAGTAAATTTAAACTGACTTTTTCCTTGAAACAACATATTCAGTTTCTACCAGTTTAAGTAAATTGGTCTATGGTGAAGTTAAGCTTGCCCTGATTATTAAATTTAAAACGCTACTGGCATGCTTCCATTATCTTTTAACTTTTAACATTCCAGTGCTAAAAGTTTTCAATTATATCCGTTATTACATAGCATTTAGGGTATTTTAAATATTTCACTGGCGTTATCTTGTTGCAATACTTCAAACAACCCCTATATTATTTTATTTGCAAATTAAAAATGAGGTTAAAGCTGAGACAGTTTGGCCTGCTTACATCCATGGCAGTAATGAAATCCTGTCATTGTTTCATAATTTGCTCCTGGCATAGTGTACAATTACAACCACATATAAGTAAAATATGTCTCTCTAACCCAATGCTGTCATACACAAGTACTGCAATTTTATGGACTGGGAAGCAGTCTGTGAAATGACACCAACTCCTTGGGGGCAACTCATTCTCATCCCCCATTACTTCCAATAAATGACCCTCCAAAAGAACTCTTATGTCACCACCTCAACATCTATTCAGATTCCTCCCACTATTCCCACTCACCCACCCAACTCAGGGAGCAGAAGGATGGTGGAAACCAAGCTAGTTATAGATCTCTATTTCACCAAGAAAAATGCTACTACATTTGGATGTGGGATGCCACTAATGCCAGAGTACAAACAAGCAAACAAGATCAAGCTCCAAACCAAATACATCAATTAGACATCAAAGACTTCAGTTAATTTCATGGGGACAATCCTACCATTTCACAGTGCAAGCTGGTACTCTCTCCTTTCTTCTCCTCTCTACTATATCTAACGTAAAAAAGAGGTCAATAAAACGCGTTGCCTCATTGCCTTCTCTATTTGTTGTTGTTTCACCAAAATAAGAACGGCCCCCCACCCACACAGAGGCTATTAGGAGCAATTCCTGGTAAGTGGATAAGGTACAGAAAGCAATTGTCAGTAATATCAACTCTTTAGATAGTCTACTGTTTTAATTACAAATTATTGTTCTAAACAAACTTACACCAGTCATTGTGAGAGCTCTGTTAGTGGAAGAGTTTAACAATGACTTAAAATAATTTAATTGGGTGTTAGATCCTTATGTGTGCACATACACAGATATCTTGCCTACATATATTATGCATTATTTTTGACATTGGGGCTGAAGTGTCTTGCTGAAAGAAAATTACCTTCCCTATCTGATGCCATAAAAAACCAAAAACCTAGAGAATCAGGTTTGGGAAGATAGTTCTAAATATGGTGAGAGACAAAAACTGTAATTTAATTATTATTTCAGTATTTCCTCCAGAAGATTTGTGTAAATCCTGTTATGACCCAGAAATCCACAGTATTAAGAAATCTATTTTTGGTACGGTCTGAAAAATATGTCCACTGATTAATGATTGCTGGCAGCAGTAAAGTGAAATCAATAAGAACTAGATCAGTCTTTAATGCAGTTACAGCAAAGGAAAGCACAATGAAATACTTGTTGGCATCACCATCTTTTAGTGCTTTTCTTGGAAACTTATAAAATTAAGTGTTTTATTCACATGATATTAAGTTTCAAAGCTTGATTCTTATTTATATGCCAGTTTAACTTTTTTTCTTAATATAAACAAACTTGAAAAGGTTTTATTTAGTTGAAATCTAAAGAATACATTAGATACCTGATTCTAATAATTGTAATATTAATTCAAGAATGTTGTAGTTCAGCCATTCCAATTAATTTGCACAATTAACTATTTTTTAGTTAAATGTATTTAAAATAATTAATGCTGAATGATTGATTTAAAAAGAGCTGTACTTTATAGTGGATTTAAACAGGGAAAATAGAATTCAAAGTCCCTGCTGTGCTTGCAAGTTTAAGGTTTATTAGGGTCTTTCAGCGTATCTACATCACAACACTGCTATAAGGATTATTTTTTCCCAAAAGTGCAGTGGATTGTTATATAGTCACAGCTAACTCAAGGAAGGAAAAAATACAAAATGGAAAAGTTATCATTTCTTTTACTTTAGGAGTCAATTTCTATTTTAAATAACCTGACGCAGCAAAATATTTATATTTGTTCTAACAATTAAGAATTCTGTTCACTGAAATAGCAACCTGATGTTTTCCCTTGATTTAATTTAAGGACACTGAATATAAGGGACTATGAAATATCCAAGAGGAGGAAAAATGGTTTCTCCAGGCACTGCAAGTAGCACTGCATTCCCTCTTCCAGACATGACCTTGGACTTGTCTATGAGCTTTTCAGAACTCACAAAAGCCCTTTAGCAGCAACGTTCACAAGGCAGTGTGCTGAGCGCAGCAAGAGTGGCTTTCGGCTTTGCTTCAATCAAGCAATGAATGTAACACTAACTCTGTCTTACCATCTGTAGCCACGCACTGCAAAACAAGACACCAAACAGCTGGGATAAACTAATTCTGTTCAACCAAGAATCAATTTCAACCAGCCCCAAATACAAAACACATAAAAGTTTCCTGACAAAGGTACATCTGATCACATCACAAAGATACTATTTACAGCTGCTTTCTACTTCCCTCCTCATAACACTGACAAAATTATCTCCAAACAAATGCGCAGTGCATCCTAAAGGGAGAATCAATGAGGCTGGCTTGTGATTAAATGACATCATATTGCTTGGCAGTTTTATTTTTATAACTCTGTCAGAGCCCTTTATTCTCCAGGGTAAAATTATTCACCAGGAAGGACAGAATGCACGACATCTCATCCATCATCTGTGCAGATAATAACTAGGAAATAGTTTCCTAAAACAACCCATGGATGTTATTTAACTTTTGTAGTCCAAGGAGTTTCTCTCCTCAAACGGCTTTTTTTCACACTCTGAAGCATGGCTAATGCAAATTTCCAAATTGTGAGCACTTTACAACAGATGGTAAAATTGGCAAGCTGATAGAGTCTTCCAGATGGCCTCGGACATTCTGCCCATCATCCTCATTCTTGATCACAAATGGAGCAGACAGAGGGAGGAAACTGGGAAAATGTAAAAACTGGTGGTGTTCAGTACAACAGGCCTCCCTAGGGTAATATGAATAATTGCCAGGGATGTGTCTACTCCTCTTGACCTCTTCCACAGGCATCTTTATTGTGCCAGGCAGATCTTCATTCACTAGTTATTCCTCAAAATCGATGCAAATTGTGCATGACTCCTTGTCTTTATCTGCTGTCTTGTTGTAATTCTGTTGTTTTTACTGATGTATAAAGATTATTAATTATTGCAATTGTTTTTGGATTGTTTGCTATGTTAGGCACTTTCTGACATGAAAATGTGAGTGAAAGGACAGATTTTTTCCCCCTAAAACAAACAAATAATAAATTTGACTTTCCAGGTTGTACCTGTTTTGTCCTAACCACTGAGCTGGCTTCATGACTGAAGAAGGCTTATTACTGAAAGGTTTCATCAACCTTGTTCTAGATAGTATTACACAAAAATTAAAAACCAGTTCTGCAGGAATTGACCTCTACTGGCTGCAGCCAATGAAAAAACAAAGCCACAAATAAATTGTAGACTCTGAAAACATCTTCATTAAAATTGTATGACATTTTACAGAGACTTGTGAGTAGGTGGTCCTTCATACATTAGAGACCACAGCTTTACTGTAATGAGGCTCTTACTGGAGATGGCAAGAATAGGGCCTTCCTGAAACGACATTTACTGAAAATCTGAAAGATGAGTAAACATATATCTTTCAGGATTTAGATGTCTATTTTGCTTTGCGTAGTCTGTCAGATAGTATCTAAATCTGCAATGAAATGACATTTTTCTCTTGGATATTTAAGGTAAATCATAGTCCTCTCATGTTTCTTTGGCTCAATGAAGTACCAGGAATAAAATCTGGAAAAGTAATTAAGACATGCCTCCTTACTGAAATCTAAGCAGCAAGAGCTCTTCTCAAGGCAAAAGTTATGTCTACCATATACGTGTCATTTCTAAAAATACATCTGGTATACCAAAATCAGGTCAGCAAAAAGACAAAAAAAAAACCCTACATAAAAAAACTAATACCACTATCAAACTGGAAATAATTTTTTGTTTAAAAAAGAAAATAGCAAAATCTCA